TATTTCCTTAGTTTTATATTAATTGTAAGCGAAATATGAAGACGCTTTTAAATCCAGAGTAATGAGTGATAATGAATTGCAAAGCAAAAGGTTATCACTATTTTGCAACCTGTCATGATCATACGATATACACATTAATGCAAGGATGTCATGTTAATCTAAATGTACAACTGGTCAAAGGCTTTAATATAAAGCCGGTGCGCATAAAATTGTTAACTTGCAGACTTCTTTAGCACAACCAAAATAGGCAAAATTTTATGGTCACATTTTTTATAAATATTTTATTTTCAAAGTTTAAGTTTCGCATTTTTTAGGAAAAGTACACGATGAGAATAGTGCATTAACACATAATTTTACATATCTAGCATCCACCTATTATTATTAAATCGTAAAAATCTGCTTATGCAAAATCTGGTTTTATATTTCATATCAAAGTTGGTATTTTTTAGACGAATCTTTATACAAATTTCAGGAATTATTAGTCAGTGTCAATAGGGTCAGGGCTGTTGGGGCGCGTCGTTTCGGTCGCCTATTTTCTCACGCGCTTTCTCCCATGGCCCCTTCTATTAGGCAATCCCCACTTTCTTGTCGTGGTCACACAAGGCCCGTTGTAGATATTTCGTTCAGCCGGGACACCAATAATTGTCTTCTATTATTGACAGCGTCCAAAGGTACTTTTGTTGGTATCACCTTAAAATGTTCGAGAATTTGTGTTATTCTAGCTCTCCAATTTGCGGCTACATTGTTTCTTTTTACAGATGGAAAGGCCATGCTGCGTCGTGGGGACACAGGTGATTGGATAGGCACCCTCAATAGGCATAAAGGAGCCGTATGGTGCTGTACCCTTGATGAATGCGCCACTAAGGCCGCAACAGGTTCAGCAGACTTTACGGCAAAACTATGGGATCTTGATAGTGGTCAAGAGATCCTTAATATCACTGAAGTCCATATTATCCGCGCAATTGATCTTAGTCGTACCGATAGTGGCGCTCGTTTAATCACTGCAAACAATAAAAAACTTATATCAGCATACGACCTTAATCGACCAGATTCTCGTATTTTTTGTCATAAT